CTTGTATTATTCATTAAATGTTGGATAAATTCCCATTGCCTACAAGACTTATAAATCAAATTTATTGAAAAAAAAATATTATGAAAACATCATGCATATTTATTTATTTCATATAAGGTGACACAAGATGACTCCGTAGTTCAAGGCTAGAAAACCATTATCTACTGGGTAGGGTTCTAACCATTGATAACCTTAAATGCCCCTACAAACTCCATATCACGGCGTACATTAGTTAATCAATACATGTATACTGCTGCACTATACACACAATTAAATTAACCAAGATTAAATCGAGTTCCTACAGTCTGGTCTAAATTACATGGAATTCCTGTCTCGGTTAGTAAAGGTGAAACGGGAATCACGCGTCTGTGTCGCACCTTTTGTACAAAGCTGCTGAATATGCCATACACATGTAGATATGTAAAGCGACTATTTTCAAATCTTAATTCTTAAATCTGAAACCGATTATGTCTACATGGTATAACATACAACCACAACATTTTATGTTATGGTTCACAAATTTGAGCAAGAATTTTCCCGGCATTAATTGAAGAATTCATAATGCTATCAGGACTCGATTTACTGCATTTGCTCTATTAGAAGTGCATCTTAAATGAAATCACACGAAAACCAAACAATATTGGTATACTAAATCGTTAAGAGTTATTTTTTACTGTTGAAAAATCTATGTTGTTGATGTAAGCACCTGCTTATTTTCGGAATGCACTATTTTATTATAAAAATACAGCAAATTTCTTTCTTTTAAGTGGAATCCAGGTTCACCGAATGATTCTACCAATAATATGTTTTTGACCCAGCGAAAGTCAAGGTCAACTCCTGCCACATTAATCGCACAATATTCTCACAAAAGCTTGACTAATTTTAAGAACTGCATCTTCTGGGCAAATTTGTCTTTTGTTTGATATATTCTGTTGGACTCTCATTTTTACAATTTAATTGGCCATGAATGCTACATGTATGTGTAGGTACATATATTATGTTTATTTTTTATTAAACACCAAACGAGGATCTTATATGGTAATCAAGCCTGCTCTGAACATGTACATGTATGCACAGGGGTCTCAAAAAACAATTCATGGGGGTTGTCAGTCATCATTTTCTAACAATGCACCTATCATATGACAACAAGGAAATAAAAATGGCTGACCAAAGGTTAACCCTTTTCCCTCCAATTTTTCTGCACTTTTTTCTTATACATGTGTTCTTTAATATTTCTGGAAATGAACACTAATTTTGGAGGCAACAGTGAAAATTTGAGTCAATCTTTCAGTTTTTACGCAACAAATTTGGCTAATTTTGTTCCAATCTTCTGAAAGAAAGTGCAGACCATAAATGGGACTATTTTGTGAATTTGTGATTAAAAGAGGGAACTGGTGGTGAAAAGGTCAACTGATACGGATGACAGAACAGAAAATCAATTTGATAGGACAGTTATAATATTGGTAGTTGACTATGCCAGCACAATAAATTATTAAAACTTATTTAAAGCTGTGTTGAGTCAACCTCATTTAAAGGAATTCTCACAGTTTGCTTCATGCTAATGGAATATACTAGCTAATGCTCGTGTACGATGTAGTTATAACTTTCGTAATGACACAAAACTAATAAACTTGTATGCTGAGAAAAAAAGAAGTTGGCACAATACGCAACTACATGTAAACAAATTTTAAACCAACTAATAAATTTCCTTAAGGTCCTTTTATTCTGGTAGATATTAATAAAAAAAATAATTAACATAATCAATTTTTTTTACTTCTACCATGTTCACACTTTACTACTGCTGTGAATGATTCTAACAATTTAGAGTAGAACTACCCATGCACAACAACTAAGTCAAGAGTTACTCTCTCTTTAGGGAGCAACTGACTGAGGCAATTAAAAGTAATCTGGTTATATAGATGAAACTGCTGAGGGAATAAGGTGACATCCATCTACATATCCTCTCGCAAGTACATATTATAAAAAAATGAGTTTGGTACTTATGTGGAAAAATGGCAATTAAGTCTTACGTTGACAGTTATTTTAAGGATTATCAATACAGTCCGGATGTTGTCATCCAATTTTATGTGCAGAAAACTTACCCAGTAACTAAAATTTAATATTTGCTTTATTAAAATGTTTATTTGGTTAGGGTAAAATAAATACAATTCTTTTTCAAAAACAAGGCAGAAGATCAAACATTTTCCATTTTTAGAAAACGCTATTGAAAAATATCTTTGCGTGCAACAAACCACAACATTCATAATAGGTTTGTGAAATCACATCAAGCAACCTTCAACCCTTTGGAAATTACTGGAGGACAGAAATAACAAACTGTGAAAAATAAGGTATTAGAGGGCATGACCTACTTTTCCTTAATAGGATTCAATCAAGCCAATGACATATCAGCTCAATTATAAGTTGTAAATTACCCTTCTTAAAATAAAGTACAAGTATTTGTACAACCACAGGGGACTGAAATTTCTTTTTAACCAGTATTTTATTCATGTTACATGAAATTAAAATTCCTTCACCCGAGGCATTTCAATTATTCTTCTTAATTTCTGCATGTATGTTTTTATTATTAGCATTTATAACGCATCCCAGATCATTTCAACATAATGGACATGCTGGAGAAGATGCAAGATGTCTTGCCATGGGAAACAAATCACATTTGCATACAACAAACTTTCAAAACATGCTATTAGTCAATTCAAATGTAGCTCTATTATGATTGGCTAATCCTCGTCAGCCAATGAGAGTGCTTAATTTGAATCACATGATCTTACCTTTAGATCAAGATGTACAATATTTTTTTCATGTAGATGTTTCACGCCTTCCAGCATTTGTCTTGTAAATTTGGCAGCTTCCTCCTCGCAAACATGGTCTTTTTCTGCTAAGAATTCAAATAGTTCTCCCCCTGAAACTCTACAAATAGAGAAAAGTAAAATATAAATAATTGGAGACCTTAGAAAGAGTGCACATAAAATGGAAATTGCATTTACTGTATGCTGGATCATTAAAATATGTCATATTTGGACTTTAAATATTGCTGTCATCTGTGTAATCTTTATTCTTAATTTTTGAAAACCATATTTTGTCATATGCAGCATATTTACAATGCCAAACCTGACTATAGAATACAAAATGCAGTATAGAAAAATGTGAATTTTATTTTTGCTGATAAGCATTTAAATTATTGTCACTTCAAGTCAACTTTAATACATGTACATCAACAAGACAGCATGTAATCAAGGACAAGAAAATAAATAAATCTGTTTCTCGTATCACTGGAATTTTAAAACATGGCGATGAAGCAAAAGTTGTTTTTTTTTAATATGACTTTCATGTAAGATTGTAGATTCAACTTTAAACTTTTGAGTACGACAATTTTTCCCACCCATAGTTTGGTGCAACATTTTGCCTATTTTTAGCATTTTTTTATTTTTTTATAAGATTTTGGACGAAATAAACACAATTTCCTACTGGCTACAAGTTTCGATCAAAATTTGGGTACAAATGTGGAAAAAATTCTGTGGATTTTTATTTTGTGAAGTTGACTTTAATCGGCACTCAAGGTTAATATAAGGCACTAAATATTAGATTGAAATGGGTTGCATTCGCAGTTGATTACGCTTAACTTGTTGCCATTGGCGATGACCCAGAAATTTTGTGTAGTTAGCTGCAAAAAATGTCCAAAGGCGAATGTTTTCTTAATAGGCAATTTGATCGAGAGACAGAATTTTTCCTAGCCTAAATAATTAACTTCACATCTCAATTTTATCTCAGATGTCCCCAATCGAACCAACAACTCTAATAATAAATACGATGTGCACTTCAAATATTGTGTGTACTAAATATGTAGTTGTTCTGCTTTTTACAGGATTTAGGTTTTGAATTTTATTTGGAGCGTAGGGTAAAGTATCCACATATTGGTTTGGAGAACCAGATACCTGCTTATAATATTACAACCGGTGCTTACAAGACTGTACCCACATACACAGTATCAGTTTTCAAAGAATACATTTTAAAAAGAACACTATAGAATTATATGGCAAGTGAAAATAAATGCATACGTGTGTAAGTCACAAACAGAGATAAATCACACAAATATGAATTATTTTACAAATTCTTTTTTTTTAACATACACCTGACTAAATTCTAATCAACAAGTGCTCAACCTAAATATCCATATTATTTTTACTACAGCAAATGTTTTTTTCTGGTATAGATGAACATCAAGCCAAAAAAAATATAATTCACTGAGTGCCATAGCATGGATTAACTTATTGTTGAACAAGAAATAGATATTTTTTTTTAATATAATAAAATCTTATTTTAGTGATTTTGCTTCCAGAATGAACCAGTGGGACAAATATAACGACCGTCAAACAAACGTGGCAACGAGAAAGGAAATCTTTTGGGTAAACACACTGACATAATTGAAATTTCGGATGTCAGTATATGAGCCTGTCAAGTCTTTTCATTGCAATACAACAAATACCTGTTCACAGCATTTATTTGCCTACATCAAGGACATGAAAAATATTTTAACCCATTGTGTTTGGGGGGGTTGACATGGATATTAAAAGAAACGAGGCCACGTTCAGACAATTGCGTCGATTGTTCCTATGGAGCTGGTTGAGTTAATGAACATGTATGGATTTCTCTTGAGTGACCCTGTAACGTCAGATTATACGAGTGAAGTCGCGTGTTCATATGTCGTGAAAAAACTAACCATAATTGCACAATTTCAGATTATTGGGTCACAAACTTCCAATCCTATTATCCCTAAATTTACTTTGTAGCTCATTTCAAACTAAAATAACATTTGAAGAAATAAATTAAAGTTTGTGTTGATTTATTCAGTTATAAGCATGCTGCTCATTTGCATATCAGTGTTTGAACAATC